CGCTGCACTGCTGCGGCAGTGACTTTCAGAAATTACTCCTGTGGGAGTATCTTGGGACTGGAGGTTGGAGTACGAGGTTGGAGAACGCCCTGCCACATCCATGACATGGAGCTCCATGGAGTTAGAGAACATGGGGCTTCCAGATGTCACAAATGGGGAAGAAGGTCCTCGTCCCTAAAGGCGAACGGGCCACCGGTGTCTGAAGCGAAACTCCCTACGCAGCAAGAGGGAGCCTACGGTATACATAGGAAAAGCAGAACTACCATCCTTCTGACGCAGGGGGCGGAGATCACATAAAGACATAATGGCCCGTCGCGTTCGAGGGACGTGCGATCCTTGGTACCTCCAGTCCTGATTTATTCGGATAGGAGGGCCCACACTGCGATCCGAACGGGAGAGCCTCCATGGTTAAAAACATGAAGGATACTAGAACAGCTGATACTAGGGAGAGGTAAGCGGCTGCTTATATACTCTGTTTGTTGATTGAAAGATTGGATGGGCTCGCTCCTCCCTAACTTACGTTTAGGAACTTCATTTAATGTCTGCTGCAGTGGATGAAGTGGCTATTTATTTTAATCACTCTCACAAGAACTCAATGGTTATTCACAGCCTTTATTCAAACATTTAAATGTATTAGAACAATTTTAATTAGACAAGTTTCATGAATCCCTAAGTAGCTGACATTGTGATTTTAAAAATATTAGATGGGAGGAAAACTTATATGTTAATGCATTTTCTTGCAAATGTTTTGAAATGCAATGCAAATGCATTGAAATATATATATATTTCCACCACCATGGGGAAAGTTATACTTTTAAAAGTAATGCATTCCTTTACTATATTAGTAAATTACTTTTTTTATGTAATGTTATGTTCCTTTTGTGTTATGTTTTCTCACCTGTGCTGGGCTAGGCTGTTTGTTTGTTTTTTTGATAACAAAAAAGTCCTATTTTTGGCACATGTAATGGCTCTTTCTCACCACAAAAGTGAAATGAATAAGCCTCAAGCTGAAGGAAAGCACACAACACCTCAGCACTCCTTATTCTCTCAACATGAGGACTGGAGTCAGTCAATACATGGGAAAACAAAGCATTACTTGTTTAAAAATGTAATTCAGATATTTCATTGCAAATTTAAAAGCAATGCATTACTTGGAAAAGTAATCTGATTACATTACTCACGGTTACCCTCAACACTGACCACCGGTTGTTACAAGTGTAATGGAGACTTAATGCTGTTGCTTAAAAAAAAAAACTTTCGTTTTCACAATCGAAATGCATAGTAAATAAAAATCAAGGACAGAACAAATAAATGAACGAAGAAACGTGTCTCCTAAATGAATACAAATCTGCCTCCTGGGACCCAGGAATAGACTTGTGTCCTCTGTAGTGGACATTATATTGTTGTGCATTTCTCTGACATCATACATCATGGACGTCCAGTAAAGAGCAGACTCAGGGCTTTTCAGAGACACCAAATGATTGGAAGTTTCACAATGACAACTGTCTCTCCTTGGACTTTAAAAATGACTGACATTAATCTATTGATCAAACTTAACACTCTTACAGAAATATGATCATATTTTGTAAGGATCATTTAAATCTGACCAATTTTTTAATTGTTTGTCATAAATATAAACATCTCAGGAAAACGCTATGGGGTTTCAAATCAAAATATGACTTTCTGTTACGAATCAAGACATAGATTTCCTACATGTCCACTTTAGAGGACACCGGGACTTAAATCATGTTCATCAGGCTTTTTGGGAGACACAAGTGAATAGGGTAAGAAATTATATTTCAATATTCCTATGACATATTAGATATTATAATGAAAACCTCGCCAATTACTACTCCAATTATTACACTTCTTTTTTTCATTGAATGTTGCCCCAAGAACACATTAATATGCAAATTAGATACAATGTACATTAGATACATTGTATAAAATGGGAAAACCCGCTATTATGGCCATTTTACACACATATTGCATAAAGCAAAATTGTTTATCAAATCATTCTGTTATATCTTTCATAACATAGAATCATCTTTATACAAACTTTGGTAGGCTATATGAAATCCTGAAACCTAACAAAGATTGGTGATTTAAAATAAAATACCATTGTTTTTGCCCATTTATGTCTTTTTATTTTTATTTTTAAAATTGAGTCCTGGTGTCCACTACAGAGGACATAACATAACAAATGAATAAAATATAATTTTTCAAAATATTTTTCTTATGCCGACAAGCATTTTCGCATTTTTAAAAAAATTTCTAAGCAATGTAATGACACGAAAAAATACTAACTTTTTTTCTTGGTCTCATGATATTGGGTGAATTCAGTCAGGTAAATTGGGACACTTTATAACTATATCTACAGGCTATATAATGTTGCAATATAATCCCAACTGAGCCTTTCAATCCAATGACTGTATTAAATGTATAATTTGCCGTATTGTAGAGACTCTTACAATTACGCGCGTCACCGCGTCACAGTGAGCAGGAGGAGCCCGTGCTCGAGGACTGAAGAAGCCAATGATCAGACCTTCACATCTGCCACCAGAGGGAGAGAGAAGATGCTCATCTGTGCAGGACTCGCGCGGGGCTGCGCACAAGGGCGCGCGCCTTACACAGATGCGGCACGAGACAATGACACGCGTCTCTCAACTCGTACAAGTCGGTAAGTTTACGCACAACATCAGATGAGACAACTTCATCGTTATTTATACTAAACATGTTATAAAACATGAGGTGACAGGGTAAATAATGTTGGATAAAGTGCTAAATATTTACTGTGAAATATCTGTCATTATTGATGTCTATTATTGTTATTCTTCTTTATGAATTTACAGTCTTGCTCTAATAATAAAGTAAACGGCCAGCAAACAGAATAGTTGATTTTTCATTTCAAGAAAACAAACAATAATTGTAAGCACAGTTATGATGCCTCTTCATGGTTATAATAAAGCTCATGTTGCAGACGTGATGAAATATTCCAGTTCCATAGGTATATTGCATTTGTATATTTATGATTTACATACTGTGCGGTTATGACTAATTGATTCATATAAATATATAAAGCTTTACTTGATGTATCATAAGTTAACACCCTTTTAATGCATTGTTAATACATGTTTACTAAAAGTAGAATCTTATTAAAATGGAATAAGGTGTTGTGGTAGAACCAGGAAGGCAAGATGTTTAATAATGTAAAATTTAAAAAGTGTAAAAATTAAATTGTAAAAGTGAAATGATTTTTACTTTGAAATAAGCATCACACTTTAATAATCAATCCTTGAATGTATCAGTCAAACTGTCCACTTTAAAACCGTTTGAAGGACAAATAAGAGATTTTGTTTCTTGAAAATGGCATATTTGACCATCTAAATGCTTTTGGTTTGCAAAGATCATCATTTTCTGCTTGGTTTCCTAAGAGATCTGGATGCTTTTCAGTGGCATACATTCATGTTTCCCTCATAGTGAATCACGTTCGTCCACTTTTTTAGTAATACAGACACATTGCAGAAGGAGAAAGTACATTATTAATACGTTATCCGCAGGAGAAAGGCTTGCAGTGCTGGAGATGTTTCTTCCACGGGATCTTCAACATTTCCTCCTCCTCAAGTTAATGAAAATGTGTTCATTATTTAAAGGAACAGTTTATTCCAAAATGAACAATCTATTATTATTCACCTAATCGTTCCAACTCTCTAAGGCTTCTTTCTTTCTTTGAACACAAAAGGCGATATTTTGAATAATATTCTGGTTGCTCTTTTCCATACAATTATAGAGAAAGGGAAATTAAGCTTTCAATGAACTAAAAGCACAATAAAAGTTTCTCAAAAAATATAGTGCAAGTCTTCTGAAATCCCATACTGCAAAAAAATAAAATAAAAAAAATAAAAATTCTGGCAAAAATATATTCTAAATATGTGTTGTACACAATGAAATATATTTTTGTACATTGAAAATATATTTAGTTTTAACGTTCATATGCCAAAATATATTTCAGGGCCAACAAAACACATTTCCAGTCTTACAGTATACTGCATTTTGGCTAAATGCAAATGTGGATGGAATAGCCTTCTAAAGATCTACCGGTACATGTTTTGTATCCATCATTTAAAATGACATTATAAAATACACTGATCAGCCACAACATTAAACCACATGCCAACACCTTGAACTTTTGATTATGTCCCTTAAAGTATTTCTCCTGCTTTTTTATAAACTCCAACTTTTGCAGTGTGGCAAGTTTTGAAGTTCATGTACAACAAGTAAAGTTTTTCTTTAAATGTGAAATTTGTAAATGTATTCTCTTGGTTTGAAATATGTGGAGGGCAAAATATATTTTTTAATGCTTTTAAAAATAAACATTTTATTTTAAAATATAAAAAAATGGCCAAAACATTTCTTGGTAGAAAATATATTTACATAAATCTGTGAAGTTATCTGTGAACTTCTTTCTGAAACGCGTCACAAAAATGAACCGAAACTCAGCAAATAATTGCAATGCAGACATGAGAGATATGTCTTTAAAAAGCTTGAAGTGTCTAACTCAGTAATATTGTTTACCACATGAAATAACATCAGTGTTTGATTGCCTGTGTTTATGTTTTTTTTTCCTTCCTTGACCGTGATTGTTTTGTGTTTCATGTGCGGCTTTCTCCTACTGAAAATGAAATCTGAAGCATTATCAAAAGACAAGAACCAGCCTGGATCATGATCGCTGACTGCTAGAAAAACTGTTCGAGACGAGAAACCCGCCAGAAATAACAAGAACTCCCTCCCTCACTCACTCACTCACTCACTCACTCACTCACTCACTCACTCACTCACTCACTCACTCACTCACTCACTCACTCACTCACTCACTCACTCACTCACTCACTCACTCACTCACACACACACTCACTCACTCACTCACTCACACACACACTCACACACTCACTCACTCACTCACTCACTCACTCACTCACTCACTCACTCACTCACTCACTCACTCACTCACTCACTCACTCCTCCTGTGTTTCTGCCATGGCGGACGCAAACATCTCTCAGGTGGCAGCCGTGTACGTGAACCCTCGTAGTCAAGTTCCCGTTCTGGACGTCCATGACGCTTACACGGACTTCTACGACATGGACTATGGCGTTCCTGCTGATGAGATGCCGGACACCACGCAGGGACTGGCCTACTTCGTGGCCACCATCGTCATCGGAGCGGTCCTGATCTGTATCATGCTGGTGTGCGGCTTCGGAAACTTGTTGTTCATCGCCACTCTGGCCCGATACAAAAAACTCAGGAACCTCACCAACCTGCTGATCGCTAACCTGGCCATCTCCGACTTCATCGTGGCGGTGGTTTGCTGCCCTTTCTTGGTGGATTACTACGTGGTCAAGCAGCTCTCCTGGGACCATGGGAAAGTGCTGTGTGCCTCCGTCAACTACCTCAGGACTGTGTCTCTGTACGTGTCCACCAATGCCTTACTGGCCATCGCCGTTGACAGGTCGGTGTGATTTAGATACTGTAAAAATGAATACGCTATATCTAATCAATAAAATTATGGCAACAGATTACAAGCAATAGTATAAATTAAATTTAACAAATTAGAATTGGAGAAAACCGTAATTTCAAGTCACCATTATGGTGATCGGTGTTCGTTTTAGTTGGGCTCTTGACCCTTAAGTCATTAACTTTAAGTTTTGTCTGCCTGCTGTACCTGAGTTTTAACACCCAGATGAACAAATAGAAAAGGTGATCTGATGGTGTTGGTTATGTTTTAACATAATCATCATTTCACAATCATTTGCCCTGAATCACTGAACTCATAGAGCCCAATTTCTTAGTTAGATTTACTTTATTAATTATAGCAGCACTGGCCTTGTACACCTTGTAATATTTTTAGCCTTTTCAATGAAATCTGCATATTTAGTGGCCGAAATATTCTTGGCTTTCAGATTCATGCATTATCCATTGAGGCTCCTATACTCTTCAAATACTACTCATCTGTGAGGAAAATATTGCATTCTCTGCAACAAAAGCTTTCCAGTTATTCAGTAGGATTGAAAAATCTGCCATGCATTATCCTGTATGGAGAACAAAGCGAGTGAAAACCTGTTCACTATCTTAGCAACTTAAAGTAGAACTGCACTTTAAGGAATAGTTCAATTCAAAATGAAAATTCTGTCATCATTTACTCGCCCTCAAGTCGTTCCAAACCTGTAGGAGTTTCATTCTTCTGTTGAACACAAAGGAAGATATTTTGAAGAGTATGGGTAACCAGACAATTGTTAGTCCCCATTGACTTCCATAGAAGGAAAAAAAAAAAATACTATAGAAGTCAATGGGGACCAACAACTGTGTGGTTACCGACATTCTTCAAAAAACATTCTTCTTTTGTGTTCAGCAGAAGAAAGAAACTCATACCGGTTTGGTACAACTTGAGGGCGAGTAAATGGTGACTGAATTTTCATTTTGGAGTGAACTTTTACTGTAAAAAATATATAAATAAAGGTTAGGGATGCACTGATATGGACATTTTAGATTACCGATAATTCTTTATATTTGGAAGCCGATAACGATATATTGGCTGAGAAATCTAAAAAAAAATTTTTTATTACAAAATTGATTACAAAACAAAAGTGTCACAATTAAAAGGCATGTCCCAAGCACTTCGACATAAATCAAACGAAAGAAGTACAGTAGCATAGTTTGAACCAGAGTAAGTTTTCAAAATGAATTTTACACTCCTATGGCCAACTTTCTGTACCAAAAATTAAAATTAAAAATAAAATCATATTTCAAGCACTTCAAACCCGTCATGTTGAACAGTGTGTATCTGAAGTGTCTCAGCTAAAGGAAATAATCCTTTATTTATTGGCTTTAATAAATCGGCCAAATTTTCTTATTGAACCGATAACTATAACATTAAAAATGAACATATATCGGCCAAAAACAATATGGCAGCTGATATATCGTGCATACACAGGCAATGAGGCTCCAGCGTAAAAGAAGTGAATTAAAGCATGAGAGAATGTGATGCATTATTAACAGTATAGCAATAATCACAATAAACAATACTTCTGGCAATTAAAATAATTCATTAGTCCAAATGTAAGTTGTTTAAAGTTGACGAATAATGAATAAAAAAAGATCTCATTATTTACTCACTCTTGTTTTTTCTAAAACCATAAGCTGTTATTTTTTTGTTGGTCAAAAAGGAGAATTTTAGAAGAATCGTTATACAGCTGTTTTCCATGATATAAGACTTCATAAACACAAAACAGCATATAAAGCTTTGTGTGGTGAAATAGTCCATATAACTATATCCCCAGTCTTCTGATGTCATACAATAGCAGGACATAAAAAATAGAAATTGAAGCTGTTATTAACTCGTAATCTTCAGAAATCTCGTTCACATTTGCATTCACATGTCGACACACCATGGCAGGATTGATGTCAGTGTGTGTCGCAGCTGAACATTACACACTCACACATCTCTTCACATTTCATACAGTAACATTGGTGAAGGGAAAGATTATCTGTGATTATCTGTGAATTATCTAATTGTAATAATATTAATAATAATACAATTTCCCTTTGTGTTAAAAAAATGCATATTGTACATTGGAACAACATAAAAATGAGTAAAGAGTGATGTAAGTTTAATTCTTAGATTAACGTTCTATGACACTGGTATTTATAATGCATTATAATGGTATTCTGAATGCATTATGCATTATAAAAACATTCTATGAATTATTGCTGTAAAAACAAAAATAATATCTCCCATTGTGTTAAAATAAAAAAAATAACTGCGTACATACTGTACATTTGGAACAACATGAACGTGAGAAAATAGTGATGTAATTTTAATTTTAAGATTAACTTTTTATGAAGCCTGTATTTATAATGCATTATAATGGTATTCTTAATGCATCTTAAAAACCTTAATATTCATAACAACAGTTATAACATCATTTTATAGGATTATAGTTCCCATAGATATAATATATGTCTCATATCTTGGCATTGATGAAGTATCTGACTCCTTCTTACTGTAAAGTCTTCATGGAAACATCCAAAAGGCTTTATAATGTGCTCATAATGTTTGTTAGTGCTCTTTGTCTGCGTCAAGTAAAGTAACATGAGTTATAACTGTTACGGTTATTCATAAGATGATATAACATATTATACGTAATTATACATGCATTATAATGCCTTAAGAATACCGTTATAATGCATTTTAAATAAAGGCTTCACAGAAAGTGTGTTTACCAGCTTCAAACACGTCTCATCCATTCAGAATATAAACTCTGAACCCTGTTTTATTCAATAAATAAAACCCAACCCGCTTCCAGATGTAGAGACCGTGCTAATGTTAATGCTAATGCTCACATATGAAAGACTGTTAGGGATATTTCTGTAAAAATGTGAGTGAATCCCACGGGCAAGAAATTGTTTAAAACGCTATCTCTATGCGGGTATTCTGTAACATCCTTTTCCAGGATAACAACAATTATGTGTCCTTTACACAAGCTGCATATCCCGAACAACTCGTAATAAAGCATGTGTGAACATGACCATATTAATGATCAGATTTGTCCTATATCAGAGAGTGAATCAAGATTACATTTCAGCTCCTGTTCTATTTCTTTAGCAGTTATTAATAGCTTTTAAAGTTTCTCCCGACACTTCATCTAAGCTAGTCATTTTACACAGTTAAATTATGACAGGACAGAGTTTGTTTGAACCTCGTCACGTTTTCATGTTTTTCATCATGTTTTTTAATTAAGAAAAAGGCCTCATGAAAACCACTTGTGATTACATTTGCCTTGCTGTTTGACTTGTCTGTAATGACAGTCCATAATTAAGGAAAATTTAATTATGAATGGCTTACAAGTTTCTGATCTACTGATAGAAATCCTTAAATAGAATAAATTGTACCAGAAGAGCATTTCCTGAAGGAAGCATCAGTGCAGCAAAAGAATTGTGTTAAAGTCAGCTTGAAATGAAGTTGCTCTGGTCTTTTCTCCTCTATTGTGTCGTATATCGAGTGAAACGCTTCTGGAACAAGTACAGATGTGGGCGGGGCTTGATTGTGTTTGTGGGGAACTGATTGGATGGTTGTGGTTTGCTATTGGCTGATCTCATGTGAGTGACAGGTTGCTCCGCCCACATCATCAGAGAAGAGAAGAGATGCTGCAAGAGGAACTGATTCTGATTCAAGATTACCAGGAACATCAATTTAATGATGTGCTGATAAATTATAATAAATACTGCAATATTAAAATTAATTGATTTCACAGTGACTTCGATGTGTTAGTGAGCTTTAGGTTTTCACACAAGACTCAACACAGTCGCTGTGCAGTGTAAAGTTTGCAGTTATGTTAAAATATTTTATATTTATAAAATAATAAGAAAGATGTGATTATTCACAATTCAGTATGGAAAAAAGGATAGTTCACTCAAAAAATAAAATGATATCCAACATCATGATTCAATGATTAATCAAGTGATTCGGCTCAGTTTATAACCTTTGATAAGTCGATCACAGGAACATCCAGATCTGTGTTCTGATCCAGAGAGCCGTTGGCATGAAACCGCTTTACTAACAGTCCTTTCAACACACAGTATCAGTACTTCTGTCTTACAATCATTCATATTATCACAGAAGTACTGGGATAAAAGTTTATTGTTCATTAGGGGTGCAGCGGTTCACAAAATCCACGGTTCGGTTCGATACGATACAGCAAAAAGAAAGAAATGCCAGAGAAATTTCCTATTTATTAAAAGGAAAATTATTTTTAAATAAATGTGAGTTTTCCTACATCTTGAAACTTTTAGTTTTTATAAATGGGGGTAATCTTTGAAGGATGAGCAAATAATGTATAATATTTGTTAAAACATAATATTTGAGTTTTGAAGTGCTGGAAAAATATGTGTGATTTACTTGAAAGCATTTTACTATTCCTGCCAAACTTCCATGGTTACAGTGAGTGTTACTACAGTAAATCCATGGTGAATGTTGCTGATCTGTGGACTTACGGCCTATACACGTTAACAATGTTTCTCCTGGTTTCCACGTCAGCGCTGTTTGATCCGTTAATAACGGAGAAATGTGAATGTTTCTCACTAGATCTCGCAGCGATGTTATTACTTCAGTGGCGAAGTCAAATGCTGTGTATAACAGTGTCTCTTGATCAAGATCGGCTCGCTCGCTCTGCACTGACATTCATGGTCCAAACTGATAAACGGTCCGTGAAGCACAAAATAATAAGTTCCGCTTTCATTACGTTTGCCATGTGGTATTGCGCAACGTTGTGGTGGTTTTTGCTCAGCAGGAAAAATTGTCCAACGAATCTTTCGGTTTGTAATGCGTATTCCGTACCGGACCGAAAGTCTCGTACCGAACACCCCTATTGTTCATATATAATCTAAATAGAGTAAATCACCTTTTGAAAGGAACTTGACGCTTCAAATAAAGATGATATCAGTTACTTCATTACACCAGTAGGTGGCGACAACAGACTGTTAAAAACGTGTCATAGAATCATTAACTCAAGAAATGTTTTTAAAAACGCTGATACACCCAGTTAGCCTGGTTAAAACCAGACCATTCTCAGTTGTAACTGAGTTATGGTCTGGCAAAGCGTCATAGACAAATCATTTCCAGAGGGGCGTCACCAACGGACGTCGCGGATAGACCTAAACCCAATCAGAGCGATGAAGGAGATGACGTATGCAGAGCGGCGGAGACACATCTCCGAGTGTTGTTCTTTGCTCGGTTTTTAACTAAAAGGAAACGTTCAAATGGCTTAAAACAGACGCGATAGCTGATTGGAACGAGTGATGTTCGACGGCGGCATCCATCTTTGTAATGTAGGCTACAAAATCTGCTTCAAAATCCCAGCGCTGTCGTCATCGTGTAAAGCCCGCCCCAATGCTTCTGATTGGTGCCGCGATTTCGACGGATTGGAAATGGGCTTGAATGAGCTCTTTGCCAGACTAACTTTCAGAGCAAATCTAAATTTGCCGGAAGTTGTCTGGGTTTTCCCAGGCTAACACCCAGTAATAAACCAAGTGAAGTCTTTATGAGTGAGTCATTGAATCATTCACTCCACCCGATTTTTGGTAAAAATAATTACATTTTTGTAAACCAAACAATTGTGATTCTTGCATGGCGCAGCGCTACACCAGTGCAGACAGTTAAACCTGTGCATTGGTTAGTAAACAAAAGTGAATTTCCCCGTATAGTATGAATGTAAATTGACCCTGGTCATCTTTGTCGTGTGTAGGTATATGGCCATCGTTCATCCCTTGAGGCCCAGAATGAAGCTCCAGACGGCATACTGTCTCATCACTGGGGTGTGGGTCGTCCCAGTGTTCATTTCCATACCGTCCGCATACTTCGCGTCCGCCACCAAAGTCCCCAACGGGGCGAACCGCAGCAAGACCTTCTGCGCCCAGATCTGGACGGTGGACCAGCAGCTGTACTACCGCTCGTACTTCCTCTTCATCTTCGCGGTGGAGTTCGTCGGGCCGGTGCTCACCATGGCCCTGTGTTACCTGCGCATCTCCCAGGAACTCTGGTTCAAGAGCGTGCCGGGTTTCCAGACGGAGCAGATCCGCAAGCGCCTGCGCTGCCGGAGGAAGACGGTCATGGTGCTCATCGGGATCCTCACGGCGTACATCCTCTGCTGGGCTCCGTACTACGGATACACAATCCTGCGGGATTTCCACCCGACGCTCATCTCGCGGGAGCGCAACTCCCTGGTGGCGTTCTACATCATCGAGTGCATCGCCATGAGCAACAGCATGATCAACACCTTCTGCTTCGTCAGCGTGAAGAACAACACGGTCAAATACTTCAAGAGGATCGTTCTTCTGCGCTGGAAATCCACATACACCTCCAGGAAGACCGTGGAGGAGACGGACATCCATCCCAATCTCACCGAATGTAAGAAGGGAGCCGAACTGAGTGGTTTTCACGTCACCCACATTACAGACGATTAAAGAGGACTGGTAACACTTTACAGTGAGGTTCATTCGGTAACTAACATGAACTAATAATGAGCAAAACATTTCTTACAGTATTTATTAATCTTTGTTAATGTTAATACAGCTGTTCATGTTAGTTCACATTAACTAATGTTAACAAATACAACCTTTGATTTTGATCATGTGCTAGTAAATGTTCAAATTAATATTAAATAAGATTAATAAATGCTGAAGTAGTGCATGTCATTCTTAGTTCATGTTAACTAAAGTAATCAACTAATGTTAACTAATGAACGTTATTGTAAAGTGTTACCAGAGTGTTGTTTATACTGGCGTTGTCTTGTGACTGTTGTTATGTTCTCGTGGTTTTAGTAAAAAGTCTGTTTTTTTTCCTGTGAAATGTGCCATTTTCATTCTTTGTTATGTATGTGTAAGCGATCATTTCAGTTGTTTTGCACAAATGTATTTTATGAGTAAATGAACTGCTCAGCCTAAAGCATTGTGAAGGACTTATGTGGATCAAAGGCAATGGTAAAATATAAAACTACTGACATATAGTTTTGATTATAAGTACAGAACAACATACTGTTCGTTTTTTGGTAACGCTTTACTTAAAGGCTTTTATATACACTCACCTAAAGGATTATTAGGAACACCATACTAATACTGTGTTTGACCCCCTTTCGCCTTCAGAACTGCCTTAATTCTACGTGGCATTGATTCAACAAGGTGCTGAAAGCATTCTTTAGAAATGTTGGCCCATATTGATAGGATAGCATCTTGCAGTTGATGGAGATTTGTGGGATGCACATCCAGGGCCCGAAGCTCCCGTTCCACCACATCCCAAAGATGCTCTATTGGGTTGAGATCTGGTGACTGTGGGGGCCATTTTAGTACAGTGAACTCATTGTCATGTTCAAGAAACCAATTTGAAATGATTCGAGCTTTGTGACATGGTGCATTATCCTGCTGGAAGTAGCCATCAGAGGATGGGTACATGGTGGCCATAAAGGGATGGACATGGTCAGAAACAATGCTCAGGTAGGCCGTGGCATTTAAACGATGCCCAATTGGCACTAAGGGGCCTAAAGTGTGCCAAGAAAACATCCCCCACACCATTACACCACCACCACCAGCCTGCACAGTGGTAACAAGGCATGATGGATCCATGTTCTCATTCTGTTTACGCCAAATTCTGACTCTACCATCTGAATGTCTCAACAGAAATCGAGACTCATCAGACCAGGCAACATTTTTCCAGTCTTCAACTGTCCAATTTTGGTGAGCTCTTGGAAATTGTAGCCTCTTTTTCCTATTTGTAGTGGAGATGAGTGGTACCCGGTGGGGTCTTCTGCTGTTGTAGCCCATCCGCCTCAAGGTTGTGCGTGTTGTGGCTTCACAAATGCTTTGCTGCATACCTCGGTTGTAACGAGTGGTTATTTCAGTCAAAGTTGCTCTTCTATCAGCTTGAATCAGTCGGCCCATTCTCCTCTGACCTCTAGCATCAACAAGGCATTTTCGCCCACAGGACTGCCGCATACTGGATGTTTTTCCCTTTTCACACCATTCTTTGTAAACCCTAGAAATGGTTGTGTGTGAAAATCCCAGTAACTGAGCAGATTGTGAAATACTCAGACCGGCCCGTCTGGCACCAACAACCATGCCACGCTCAAAATTGCTTAAATCAACTTTCTTTCCCATTCTGACATTCAGTTTGGAGTTCAGGAGATTGTCTTGACCAGGACCACACCCCTAAATGCATTGAAGCAACTGCCATGTGATTGGTTGATTAGATAATTGCATTAATGAGAAATTGAACAGGTGTTCCTAATAATCCTTTAGGTGAGTGTATAACGCATTATAAAAATATGTTTAATGCGTCAATTATGCACCTTATAATGCATTGTATGATCCCATGAATAATTTCAACCACAATTATAATACATTATAATACTTATCTATTCATTGTTACACCTTTAGAAAGTATAATGCATTAAAGCACATGGAAATCAACCAATTTCAGATGTAACAAGGAATCTGCAAATATTATAATGCATTTTAACTTTGGTTACATTTATTTATGACTTTTTTTTTCATATGATATTTTTTAAAAATCTATTTCTCTTTGGAGAAAACGAGTGGGATTTTTTTTACTTCCACAACTTTAAAGCTCTATTTATGAAAAAAAAACCTAAATAATATTTTCTGGCAGTATTTCTATAAATACAATTATGGACTCATTGAACCACCACTCAGTAATTTACTATTATGTATTACAGATTATTTGAAAATGATAAGCAGGGTCTTTTTTCGGTGGATGTTTTATATTTGGAAGAAATAAATTTTTCCATAGTTCTGGAAATGTGGACATTTGCTGTCTTTTGTGTTGTTAATACAGTATCTGCATGCATTCTAGCCAAATAAAGTTGAACCTGAGAACCAAGCCATGTGTCGTGTAGAGTCCTATAATTTTACAGTCATAATTCAAGAAGCAATATCGATCAGTTTAGTGGTGATGTCTGAACATTCGGTCTCGCATAACCTGTGAGTTATATTTCTCTGTGCTCTGTAAAGCAAGGTCTCTATTTATCTAAAGTCCAAGGACAGTTCATTCATAATTTACAGAATCTGTCGATACTTAACTCATCACATGAAAAATTATATTTAGTGTGGTTTATTGTTTATTATTGGAATATAGTAGAGAATTTTAATCTAACTTCCACAAAACTACATCTTTGGTGATTTTTATTTTATAGTAGAACTCTGTACTAACATTTAAATACATTTGATGCAACATGTTTTTACAGTGTACTTAAATTAAAAATATTGGAAAAACTTTATTTTAAGGTGTCATAGTTACACTAATTATACATTAACACATTTACAAGTTTTGAGTAATATTAATTAACTACATGTCTATAGGGTTTGGTTTTGTTCAGGGTTAGTTGCTGTCACGGGACGTGCACGGCACAAAGGTGTGAGGACTCAAGTGCAGGAGAAATGAACTTTATTACAAAAAAATAAACAAACACAAAGCAAAAACCCACGAGGGGGGAAAACACAAGAAGTAAAAATAAAACAATAACAGAACCTGAAAGTGCAGAGTATCACGGGGAACAGGACACATTTGACAACGATCCGACAAAGACTGCAAACAAGAGGAGACTTAAGAAGGGAACTAATCAAGAGGGGACAGGTGGAAGAACTCAAACAATAATCAGGTAACGAGGGGGAGGGATCAGACAACGACAAGAGCACATGGCCCAAAATAACAAAACACCCATGTGCAGCACAAGACAGGACAGGCATGTGACAGTTGCATGTAATTATGCATCATTTATAGTTTTACTATATTATTTGTATTACTATAGTAACTACATGTAACATATGTAACAATGACACCAAAAGCGTTACCAACATATATGCATGTAATCAGAGTAGAGTTGTTCCGATTCCGATACTAGTATCGGAAATGCCGCCGATACCAATAAAAATTCTGGCATCGGTATCGGCGAGTACTTCTATCTGCGTACCGATCCGATACCATTTTCTTAAACAATTACTAGTTATGCACGCTAGCTTTGCGTAACGCTGCAAATCGGAGCTCAATAGGCTATGTGCACAAGCGTAATTTCGAACTTCCGCTATTGTCTGAAGTCGGCATGTCAGTTTCCGGTTTACGGCTGTTCATCCGCAACCGCTATAAACGAACAAGATGAGTGCTGCTGTTGTACGAAAAAAAGAGTTGTTAAACACATCTAAGTTTCTAAGAACTGTAGGTGGATCTATCATCTAACGCCCGTTTCACACATACCCCGTTTGCAGTGCGTGTTGCGGTGCAGGAGCAACGCGCGCTATAGTACTTTCACATATGATGCGTTTGCAGTGAATAACTGATCCGCGGCTGTACCACAAACACATACTTACTATTTTTATTTAAAATCCAGAAGTTGTGCTGCAACTTTTATTTCAAAAAAAGTTGTCAGCATTGCGATTCTCTTTGTACACACTCTTTAATGGATGTATGCACGTTTAAACACAATTTAAACAACGCAAGTTAGGGCTATTATTCCATGCATTACTTATATTAAGTTGCTCAAGCAAGTGGTCAAATTTACTATATTAAAATGGCAAATATTTTAAATTAAAACTTAAAATTGGCAAAAACAGCCGACTCACATGCCTTTTCTTTTGCATTTAAATTGTAATAGCCTACAATAGATCTTGCATGTCACAAAGAACTTGTTTTTCCACCTCCACGAATGAGACGAGTGTTGTTCATTATGTCGCCTTAATTGTAGTTTTCCTTGATTTACCCCGGTTTTCACAGTCTTCAGATGACTGTGAAAAATAGTAGTACCGGTATATTAAATGCATTTAGGGTGAGATTACTACATTTTATTTAATGAAACGCATTTATGGTGAAATTACTACATTTTCAGGTCAATCTTTGTGCATTTTGACCACAAAACATGCGGTGTCACTTTAATGCAGCACAGCAGAAATAGATTCGGTGCAGAAACGATCGCTGCACTGCTGTTATACGTGCCGCATCTGAAACGGTGTGAAAAGTGAAAGCCCTAACCTGTTAATATGGTGCGTTAGGAGCACTGCTGTGTGCCACTTTGCTCTGCTTCAGGTCGCTAACAGCCATTTGAGCTTCCAACGCTTCCCGAAAAACACCAACCTTCGTGCGCAGTGGCTGCACAAAATAGACATTTTGGGCGACGCGAAAAAAAAAAAAAAAAAGTAAGTATGTGTTTGTGGTACAGCCGCGGATCAGTTATTCACTGCAAACGCATCATATGTGAAAGTACTATAGCGCGCGTTGCTCCTGCACCGCAACACGCACTGCAAACGGGGTATGTGTGAAACGGGCGTTAGATTATAGATCCACCTACAGTTCTTAGAAACTTAGATGTGTTTAACAACTCTTTTTTCCGTACAAGAGCAGCACTCATCTTGTTCGTTTATAGCGGTTGCGGATGAACAGCTGTAAACCGGAAACTGACATGCCGACTTCTGACAATAGCGGAAGTTCGAAATTACGCTTGTGCACATA